CAGCATATGATGTCCCTCCAACAAACATTAAAGAGATGTGTCAAAGGGGTAACTGTGCATGCTGATATAGCTGCAAATTGCTGCAAGCTCAGCAATACTAAAGAATCTACACTTAAATTCTGGATCCTTGATATGAACCGACAAGGATTACCACCACATTTGGCAACTATATGACATCTGACCCAGATGCTGCTCTCTGCATGTCTAAATCAACTAGCTTCTATCAGTGAGAAGTAGGTGAATCAGTTTGTCAGCCGTTATAAAGAATTGCACTCCAAATATAATTATATTATTATTATTATTCTTCCATTTTAGAGAGCGTTTTTCAGTCAGAGACTATGCACGCTCTGCCTACCACCTAGGCAGTAGGGCTTAGTAGCTAGTATCTATATACAGGTGGGTTATGCTATAGACCAGTCAACAGTGGGAACCTTCTATGAGGGACAGAAATAGGGAATGAGAGACAGGCTGTAGTATAATGTAAGAATCAAATGTTAAGGAACAGTAGGTATAGGTGGATTTAACAAAGAAAAAGAAATGAGAGAAAGAACAGGAAAAAAAAACACAAAGGGGAGTCAGGATAGGAGAGGTGGCTTAATAAGCATGATTAGATAATCTATGCCTAGTAAGCCTGGTTCTATGGGTTAGACTAGGTAGTAGGGTTCTTGCGTAATCATTAGTTCCTATGTGCCACTTCCTAGTGGCTATTTTTGTCTCCTTTAGGAATTCAACTAAACTTTCTTGGCCGTCCTTAGAAAAGAGATAGAAAAGATTATAATCTTTTCTATCTACCCTAGAGAATGCTCTATATCTGATGTCTCTATAGGCTGGGCAGTGGAATAGTAGATGATATGGGGTCTGCTCCTGATTGGTTTGGCATAGATTGCATGTTCCACTATTATATGCAGGTAGCCTGACTAGGTATGACCTAAAATACCCATGACCTAGTTTTAGCTGAATAATAGATGACCATAGTTGCTTAGTCAGCTTTAATGGGCTAGGTGTTACGCGTTGGGTCCAACCGTAGTCGTCGATACTTAACGATGGTGGTTAGGGAAGGATCAAGGAGTCTTAGGGTTAGGGTTAGGGTTAGGGTTAGGGTTAGGGTTAGGGTTAGGGTTAGGGTTAGGGTTAGGGTTAGGGTTAGGGTTAGGGTTAGGGTTAGGGTTAGGGTTTAGGGTTAGGGTTAGGGTTAGGGTTAGGG